CTGATGCTCCGGGAAGAATGGTGCTGAAGATTGAACCAAAGTCCTTGTTTACCTTTTTCCATGTTCTCTCAAGCTCAGACTTCTTTTTGACATCGAGTTCTTCGATTACACTCTTGATCTTCTTCTTGTCATTCTCGACTACCTTTCGCTTTCTCAAAAGCTCTGTATACTCTCCTTCAGCCTTCTCAATCATTCCCATAACCTTCTTGTTGATCTTCTTGCTCTACACAATCATGCAAAGGATTGGTTTAGAATAGAATGGTACAAAATAGAATAGGACTGCAAAAGTAAAAGGGGAACGTACCAAAGCTTCTTGTTCGGATCTCAAGGACTGAAGTTGTTTGCTCATTTCCGAAGGATCCGTTGCAGTGAAGTCATAATCTCCCCCTTCAACTCCGAATGCGCTTCTTTCACTTTCAATCCATATATTGTTCTTCAACAAATCTGCAACCAACTTCTCGGCACTGGCTCTTTCCTTTTGAATCCGAGAGATTGTAACTGAGATTTTCTTGGCTTGCAGAGTGCAGTCGTCGGCTTTCTTCTTTAGAGATGATTTCACATGTTTCAATTCAGCAAGCTGAGAAGAAACCTCGACGAGACGATTCTCAAAGTTGTCCAGAGCAGTCTTGGCATCATCGTAAGAGGCCTTGACTTCACCAACTTTCATCTGCATATTATCTTCTTCAGTGTTAGCGGCTTCAAGTGCGCGCTTGGAACTGTCTACCGATTCTTCAGCAGTTAAAACTTCAGTTTTGAGACCATCTAGCTCAAGTGTAAGCGTTTGCAAAGTTGACTGCGCCTGGCGTGCAGATTTGTCAGTATCTACGACTCGCTTTTTAGCCTCCTGAACATCATTTTCAATCTGCCCAAGCCTATTTTCTCGCTCTTGAGTCAACTCCCCTTCTCTTTCTTTGAGTTCGTGGTAGAGATCCCATTTTGAAGCTTGCTCCTTCTGCATTTTTTCGAACTGCTTTTCAGTTTCCTTCATTTCTTCAGTCATTGCGTTGAATTTCTCTTCCAGAA